AATATCAAAAGAAGAAAAAAAAAATGATTACATCATATGTTATGTATTATATATAAGTAGATTTCAATATCAGTCTCCAAAAAAGAAACACTCTTCATGATTTGTGTATATATTGTATTAAAATCCAGTGATACAAAAATAATTGTTTTCTTGTATTTCAATTAATTTTGACCATGCTGATATTTTATCATTGAATGCTTGAGAATATTTTTTCTCTTTGTACTTTACCAGGTTCTCAGAGAATAGTATGATCATGTTTCCGTTAGTTTTTTCCCCGTAATTGCCTTCGAAAATTGCCGGAAACTATATAAAACCTAATGTTGTTTCTTTTTGTTATTATGACAAAGATCTGTTTTAAGGAGTAGATATTCTTACAATATAAATGAATAGAATAAATATTCATCTGTGTAAATAATTCTTAATTATTCATTAAAACAATAAAATCGATAAAAATATTCGTTTGAAATTCTCAAGAAATTTTATTTCTATGCTGAAAATAAATATTTGAAATAATCCTTTTATGAGTTCATTATCGATCATGCAATCATGGGGTTTTTTTTCTACATTTATAAATAAAGGGTACTTGCCCGATGTCGTGCATCGTTTTAAATCGAAGCATATTAGTACGTCGTTAATGCAGCTCATGATTAAAATACCGTATATAAAACTTTCGTCATTATACAACTAAAGAGGAAGTAAATGTGCTGAGAAAGGAACAGAACATTTGGAAGTGTTCCGAGCAAGAGCAGCTATGTTGACCTCCAACCTTATAAAACTTATATTTTTTCTGAGCGTACTAGATGATTTTCTTCGTTATTTTAACTCATCAATCTCTGCAACAAGCAGTTACGAACTTCAACTTCTTAGTAGGCGACTCCGTCCTCTTGAATTATTCTGACCTCAGGACATCAATAAGAACATTTTATTAACTAAATATTATTAGATTTGGAATTAAAACTTTTTCGATATTAAAATCTTCTAATAACTTTTAAGAAGATTTAGTCTACTTTAATTATATGACATAAAAGAATTTATATACTCATCGAGCTTTACAATTTATTGTATATTCGATAGATAACATCTGGTGACTTCCGTTTGTAGAGATAACTTCGGCAAAATTTTTTTTTTTTCTAGAAAAGGTAATTTTCTAATATGTGATTTAAAACTATTTTCTGCTTTTTTTTCTTCTTTTACATATAAAATTTAATTTTGAATACTTTTGTTCGTAGGAAAAAGTTTTTATTTTAAACCAATATAAAAATTTAAAAAAAAAAATGCAAGAATCATCACCAACATCATCATCATCTGAAGCAACTCGTATTGAAGTAAATGTTTCAGAATTTTCTCGAGGTGAAATATCTATTAAACTTCGACGTAATAATACATTACTTGTACATGCATTACATCTTGATCAATTTGCAACAGACAATTTTTTTCGTAAAGAATTAGTTAAAACATTTCCTTTACCAATAGGTGCTGATGTTGATAAAATTCATTCTGTCATACGAAATACAGGTATATTAACAATTGATATACCAATGTTAAGAGATCATGATGCTCTACGACGTTCACATGAAGCATTATTACAATCAATGGATAATCAACCATTGAGACAAACTAAAAGTGAATGTAATCGTTCAACATCAAATGCTGATGTTATTAAATCAAATCATCAAACAACACGACCACCACCACCATTAACAGTACCAAAAAGAACAGGTAGTCTTGGTGGTATTGAATATCGTCAATATTCTCAAACTTCTTCTAACTTTAATATAGCAGATTTTTTACAATCAAATTTTCATCCAACATTTGCACCAAATGGAAAAAAATTAATATTAAAAATCGATACACGTGGATATGATCCAGATGAATTAAGTGTACGTTTACTTGATAATAATTTATTAGTACAAGGAAAAAAAAAATTTGCATTATATACAAAAAAAAATGAAACAAAACAATTTAGTCAAAATATTCGTTTACCTGATGGTATTGATAAATATAATGTTACATCACAAGTTATGGAAGATGGTGTACTTGTTATTGATATACCTTTACTTAATTCGGTTTTATATTAATGATGAAACTAAGAATGTATTTATGTGTGTATTTGATAGAATATTGAAATGAATTAATAAAAAAATCTTTAAAAAAAAATTATGAATTATATTAATTACAGGTGAAAAAAAAAATATGATCATGAATGTTTATTTTTTCTTTTTAGGTGAAGAAAAAAGTAATTTACACTTTCGACGGATTATTATTATACCTACTTATAAGCGTATCTCATCCGAATTTAATACCCAATATTTAAAGCTTATATTAGACCTACAAACTAGTAAAAATCTAAAAGGGTTCGTCTTCATAGATCGTTGAAGCTGAGTTAAAATCGTTTTACCGAATGTTTGGATCCAATTTTAGGTATATACCGAAATATTGAACAAACAGAATTTCAACGTGAAATTTTGTCGGTAAATAATAGTTCGAGTAAACAGTAGAATATTCCTTTGTAGAAATATTAAATTTCCAAGTGAATTTGATCTTTGTATTATGCTTGCGGCAAACAATTTGCTTTTAGAAATTGAATATCTCAATAAAGAAACATTTTTTTCGGTTGAAACTTTCACAATATAACTATAGATCATTCAACTTAGCTATGATTAAAATTTCACATTAAAATTCGTTTTTTTTTTAATTTTTTGATGTATACCTTAAACTGATCGAAAGCTCAGTAAAATTATCTTAACTGGACTGCAAAGACTCATACGAACGAACCATTTTTAGACTTTGACGAGTCTCAACTAGATATCTTTGTAGGTCTAATATAAGTTCAAACGACTAATATAAGTTTCAGATCTAAAGTTTTCAGTATGGATGAGAGACTCTAATAACACTATCATGTATTTATCAATTTTTCAATAACTAAAATTGATCAATTTAGTAAATAGTTTCGAATTTTTATCAATGAATGATTAAAACTCATCAGACCATAAGGTCATGATTATCGTAAAAACATCTATTTTCTTAGTAACAGATATGAGAGATTCATTCGAATCATTGTAGCAGAAAAGTAGCTAAAAGATTAGATTATTTACAAAATATTGTCTTTCATGATGATCGAGTTCATAGACAGAATGTAGATGACTTTGAATGTTTTTATCAGTTGGATTGAACGTGAAAAAATGACGACAGCAAGAATATCATAATATCGTCGCACATTTTTATATCAACGAATGATAAATAAAATCAAAGCATCATTACAGTTAATAATAGATTATAATTGTAATGATATATTTCTTTGTATTTCAAAAAAATTTTTCGATTTAAAAGTATTTATTAACAAGATCGAAAAAGTTAATAACATTGTACATAAGAGTATTGTTATAGTTTCTCATCCAGAGAAAATAGTTATTGATCTGAAACTTAGTTATTTATTTCATACTAAGTATATTTAAGATTAATCTGTAGTCAAAAAGAAATTTACAACGAAATCATTTGAAGTGATTCATCGCTTATGGTTCCACATTTTGACTACAAGTAGTTAGAGACCTGCGGAGTCAACTTTTTTCATTCCGAAACCCGACTCCGACTCCGAAAAATTTCTTTCTTCCGACTCCGATTCCGACTCCGAAAAACTCCGAAATTTTTTAACAATGTCATTTAAAAATAAAACGTTCTCAGCAGCCAAAGGACTCTTTAATGACTTAACATGCACACGTTTTATACTAAAAATCTCAAGTTTCTCTTTAAAAAAAAAAAGTTTATGGATGTTATCATCATCAAAGTCGCTTTTTCCCCTCAAAAAAACCTTTTTGAATGTGTAAAAAATTCACAGTTTTGCTCCTANCAGAGAGCATCTATCGTCTGCTTTAGTAAAATGAATGAAAAAATCATATTCAAGTAACTGATAACGAAAGGAAAAGAAAGTTAATTATAAACAAGAAAAACAAAGAAATCAAATAAACGCACATATATGAATCTAATTCAGAGTATGTGGTCGTCTTCCCAATCTTGAGAATTTTTTTTTTTTTTACTCATTGATAGTCTAAAAAAACGCTCAAATTTCCAATCTTGATCAGATCGGGATGTCCCTAGATTCATATATGTGCGTTTATTTGATTTCTTTGTTTTTCTTGTTTATAATTAACTTTCTTTTCCTTTCGTTATCAGTTACTTGAATATGATTTTTTCATTCATTTTACTAAAGCAGACGATAGATGCTCTCTGTAGTTGTATTGAGGTCTTTCAGTACGTGTAGCTTTTATCTTCTTATAACTTTTTCTCATTCATTCGCAAAAGAGTAGTCACATCTTGTCTATTCAATAGTCTATAGTTAATTTCACTTATCAAGCAGTCTGTTAAAACGAGCTGCTGTTCTCATTGACTCGACATTAATGTACGAACAAGCTTTTTCTTTTTTGGCAAGATAAGCATGATTGATTTTGAATCTATACAAAATTCACTATAATAATGGTGAAGTATTATTATAAGAACAAAGCATATGATCTGCTACGTATATAGAATAAATAGTTATACGCCTTCTTAAGGTAAACAAGTGTAAAATCTAGATATATTCTTTTGTTTTTTTTCTTCATCGATGCCAATCATGGCATCAATAGAATACTCCGAGCCTGTGTAACAGTCGGCAGTTGTTGTCGGATTGGTTACAATTGGGTAATCACAGCTGAGAGAAACAAGAAAAACAAATAAAAATTATATTATTCTACTTGAGCATGTAATGTGCTGTCATAAAGACTATTTTTTTTCCTTCATCTGCTCCCGTTCTTATTCTATGAATTGACAGAACAAAAAAAAAAAAAAAAAAAGACTGCCACTTATACTGAAATCATGAAGTAGATTAGGCAACGGCTAACATTTTCTCTTGCTTATATCTTGAGGCATCAAGCCTAACTAAAAGTTCATATTTTTTTTCTTTATTTCGATAACTTTATTGTGAAATTTTAGATTATTATATAAACAATCAATCGATTCTATCTATAATGTCCCTAGAACCATCAAAACCACTTGACGAACCAACGATATCAACTGGTGATACTAAAAAGGATCGTGAAACAAATAAATGCATGCAAATTCTGTGCACACGTTCACTTTTATGTAGTGCTATTTATTTTGCATTGGCTTACTTCATTCAAGGAATAACAGATATTGCATCTGGATTTGTTAACTTACCGTTGCAAACTATCTTAAAAGATAGACTTCATCTTTCACCATCTCAAACGGGTACTTTTTTCTTTACTTGTACGATAACGTAAGTAGACGATTTATAATAAAACAAAGCAAAAAAATAAACAACATGTTCTCTTTGATTTATATGTTTTCAGTTGGTCTATAAAACCACTCTATGGAATTCTTAGTGATTTTGTACCAATATGTGGTTATCATCGACTTGTCTATCTTCTGATGACTACGGCACTTAATTTATGTGCATGGATTGCTCTTTATTTTGTTCCAACAGAATATAATTATTTAATAATTTTCTGTGTTTTGGCAGCATTTTCACTTGCATTTAATGATGTTCTCAGTAAGAAAAAAACTATATTTATATTTATCGTTTGCCTATAAAATAGATGACTATGAAACAATAATTTGATTCTTCTAAATAAGAATTATTTCCATAAAAGACAATTATGTTTTATTTCTGCATCTTCATTTTCTTATATTTTTGCTTCGCATTAAATTGACAATAATAATGATGAATGTGGTTAAATAAATATATGCAGTCAATGAGGGCAATATATTATCTAAATAGATTCAGTGTGTTTGTGTTCTTTATTTCTTCTATAGTATATTGTTAGTCATGTAATGGAAGAAATACAATTAAGACATACACACAATAGTATATTAAATGTAAAACGAATAATTGATATAAACATTGATGAATTTGAGTCAGTAAAACTTGTCAAAACTAAAGGCTAGAATTTCTTTCATTCATAATCACGGCGCAAAAAAACAATCCTTCTATTCTTCTTTTCATCTATTTTTGCGTTTCTTTATTCTGTGCCAATGTATTTTGCCAAGGAAACGCATAAAATTCAATTAGAGAGTGCATAATTTTTGGTAGCATAAAAATACAATAGGTACATTTTCAGATGAAGCGTTAAAAAAACATATGTAGGTAGTGAAACGCACCTGCCCTTGTGGCATTGGCTCTACCAAAGCATTGATAAATCAATATTTATCTTTAATATTTTGCTTTGTTATTTGTATAAATAATGACATGCAGTTTTTTTTTTTCATAGAATGTTTTTCTTACGTTGTACGAAAAGTTTTTTTTCTGTCATGTTTACTTACTCGTTATAGTTCTAAGTTGAATCTTATATTTGCGAAATCGAAGAAAAAAAAAATGATTTCAAATGGAAAAATTAATAAATTTAAATAATACAGGTTTTAATATGATAAGAATATTCGATAATGGATTTGATACTACTCAAAAGTTATTTAAATGTACTTTTTTTTTATGTTCTGCATATATAATTTTGTCATCAAGATGAACTATTTTTTATTGTGCTTTAAATCAATCAACAGAATGGCTTGTCCAAACGTAATGCTGTGACACATTTTTGACACACTTTTTTGCATTATCTCTGAAACTATGAGAGCTAGAAAGCTCGTTCAAACGCCATTTGATGCAGCTTGTCAAACTCCATTTACGCCGTAAAAACGACTTTTTTCGGTATAAGTCTCGAGCGTCGAGAAAGAGCTTTTGGTCGCGTGACGCTGTAACATAAAAAGATCCTTTTTATTTCAAGCCGCTAATAAAAGTGTAGTTTCTTGTGAAAATATTTCTTCCAATGAAACACTTCTAGAGCCAATTTTTTGTAGAGCTTTGAATGGGCTTTTCAACGCTAAAAAAAGTTTTCTCTAAACTATTTTTGCTTAGATAAAAAATACAAAAAATAAACGTAACGCTGTGACACTGTTTTTTCGCGACCAATTTTGAGGCACTTAACATGGTCAGAATGATTTGATTTTTATAAGTATTAGTCTTTTCTGTATAACTAATCATTCTACGCAAGAACGAGATCGATACTCTCGAGCTCACAAGAGACGCAGTAACTTAGAAACTGTATAAGAGTGTAAAAATTGTCCTTACTCACGAAAGTCAAAGCTAAGTAGACCATTTTGTACAGAATGAAATTCTGTATCGAATGATATGTTTCTTGGCTTTTTTTGGAAAAATTTCTTGATTAGAAAATTCAAAATACGATTTTTGAAAAGTTTAAAACCCGGTTTTCAATGCTAAATTCTAATTTTTGCGCAAAATAAATGTCAAATTCGTAATCAGCATTAAAAGCTGCATTTAATAACTCATCCAAATCTATACAATTCGAAAAAAAAGTTTTTTCCGAAACTTGATCAGCGAAGTGTCGCGTTACGTGGACAAGTCGAAAAGAAAACGTATCAAATGTCCAATCGTCATTCTCAGATTCTAAATAAATTTGAGATACAATCATTTTTTCACAAAAAAAGATAACGATCTATCATAGCATAACAATGTATAAGAGAAAATATCATTAGATCATTATACTTTTTTATATTGTTAACAAAAGTCATTTTTTCTTAAATATTAGTTAAAGTATTAGTTTTTCTTTGAAGAGAAGTTATTGAATATTTTATTCTTCGGTTTATGTGTTTAAATTTCATTGATAAATTTAACTATTTTAAGGCCTGTTTTCTGTCAAAAATTTATTTTCGTTCCAAAATAACCGATCTAGTTGAAAAATTCAGCTTAAAATATTGAATTGTTCAAAATTTATTCCTATATTAAGGGTCAAAGAGGAAAGCCATCGTACGTTTTAGATTTTTCCATCAAATCTAATGATATAGATCTTGGATTGGTGTCAAAATTTAGCTATAACTTAAGCGAGATCGATTTTTTAAATTCTTCTTTAACAATTTTTGGCGTCAGTTTTTTTTTCGAAAATCTCGAAAAAATACGAATAGTTCTATAGACAAGAATCCATTTTTCTCAAAAACTAAATCAAATATACAAAATTTGACTCTGTGAAGTTGTAAAGTACAATTTTTTCTTCAATTTAAAACCTTTTCTAAACGTTCTAGCATGTAAAATAGTTGAGAAATCTGACACGCACAAGTAGAAACAAACGTCAAACAAAGTTTACAATTGAAAACCAATATTTCTGCTTAGTAAAACGGTAGAGAAACTACATCGATCATAGTTTACCATATACTATCAGCTATGGTGGATCAAATGAATACTTCCACGTACTTTTACAGTGTCTAAAAATTTGAATCTAAAATAGCAAAATATTAGGTGTAGGTGATAGTATTTATATCAGTCATTCACAACAACACCAATAATACCAGCTGGTTAAACAGACAGAAGAAAGGAATGGTTGTAAATGTAAAGTAATGAAGCAGAAGACATAGAAAGGAATGCATACTTATGTTAGTAGGCGTTTCTTTTGACATAACACTGTCAAAAGATAATTACATAATTAAATGAACACTGATAGGAAAAGAAATACAAGGTACGATTTTATTTGTTCAAAGGCTTGTAGCGCTTCCTAATTATTTCACAGATTTTGGTTAGATTTTTTACTATACGAAACTCTACACAAAAGTTCAATAGGTAACAATAACTAACACTTTCATTAAAAAAGAAAAATTCCTTATTCCAACACCATTAGTAATTTTTATGTAAAATCATGAAAAAGCATTAGAATTCTAAAAAATTGTACTGTTTTAGAAAGTAGACAACGAGAGCTACGCAATCACAAAAAAAAATCTTAAAATCGATGTTTTTGACGAAAATTGCATTTTTTGCTAGAAGGGATTTAAATCATACATATATACATATGATAAATAACTTAGAAAAATATTTTAGAAATAAGCTCAAAGCACAAAAGCAATCAACAATCAATAAAAGCGTCGTTAAGTGCACTCTTTTTTTTAATAATGAACACTTAATTGAGATGTTTTTGTAGTACGCCTTTTAACTATATTTTCATAGTCCAATTCTTCTAGAACGTCTCCGAAAACATCGTTAAAAGAATATTTATAATAAATTAAGAATTCTTTCGATCATAGTGAACTCTTTAATGGCATGCATCTAAATCTCTCATTAGTAAAGAGAAACTTTTCTTTTCTATTTTTAAACTAACAAAACATTGATATATTAATTGCTTTCAAAATATATCATTCATTCGAAATCCTTCTAGCAATATATGACTTAATTACGTTCTTATTAACTAGAGATGTACAAGGTCAATTTTTTTCATATTGTAACTAAGAATAATTAATTACTCTTTTCCCTAGTCTGCATATCCTTATTATAAACATCTAGGTTTTAATAATTATTTTTCTAAGAGCTTCCAAAATCATGTCAATGGACGTTTTCAAGTAAAACAAGGGTCTCTCTTTTGTTAGAATTTCTAATCAAAATGTTGTCTAAAGACAAGTGAAAATATCTTATATTTAGTTGATGCACTGATGATTTCAATCGGTCGACCATTGGCATTGATCGGTACATTACAAGGTATTCAACAAACATCGGCTAAACTTGCATCAACTATTTCACAAATTCCAGCTGGTATTCTTGCATCAAGTTCTACATCATTTCAACACAATCAAACATTAAATAATAGTACATTTCAAAATTGGAAACAAAAACCGAATTCAAATAAATATATCTTTTTAATTGCTTCAATCTGTCCAATTATATTATTTTTTGCAACATTGATTACAGTACGTGAACGTCGTCGAAAATTAAATAAAAATAATTTTGCTCAAACATGGTCAATTTTATCAGGAATATTTAAATATAAAAAATTTTGGATCATAGCTATTTTTCTGTTTATTTATTCAGCATCACCACAAGTAAAAACAGCATTATTTTACTATCAACGTGATAGACTTAAATTTGATCCATTTTATGTTTCAATATTAAATACAATTTATAATGGTTGTGGTATACTTTCTGCATTACTTTATTTATCAATATTTTCTCATTATCCAACAAAACGTGTACTTCGTATAGCAATTATTATGCGAATGCTTGCTGTTGCATCTTATTTATGTATAACAGATAAATTGACATCAATATGTGTTGCTATTGTTACAGGCTTTTGTTCGGAAATAACAAATTTAGCATTACTTCATTTAGCAGCAAAATCTTGTCCAAAAAATATTGAAGGTACTCTATTTGCATTATTCGTTTCATGTGTTAATTTTGGAGCAGCAACTGGTGATTGGCTGGGTTCAATTATATATGAATATTTAGGTTTTACTATTCTTATTATAATAGCAATCATTTGGATTGGTACAACTATATTAGTAACATGTCATATTGGTGAATATGGTATTAAATCAACATTAGATAATGATGATGAAAGTGACGATAAATATCATTATTATGATGTTATAAAAAAACGAATAGAAACAGTTGAAAATGACGATTCTGACGATAAAGAAACAAATAGTTCGTCTGGATAATTAAAAAAAAGACAAAAACAAAACAATACTAATTATCTGAACTACTTTCTTTTCTTTCTTTTCTCATTTATTTTATTGTTTTACATATTGTTAATGTCACGAGTTGTATTTTTGTTCTCGTTTTGATATTAATTATTATTATTAGTCTTTATAATGAAACAAAAAAAAAAAACAAATAAATACATTCATAAAAATATATATTTCCGACTAGGAAACTATTGTTATTATTGTTAAAAATGAATAATAACAACAAGAGCAAAAGAAAAAAAAAAACTGGAGCGAAGAAGAAATATATTTCAACAAGAGAGTTTACATTTATAGATCATCAAAGATAAAGGACTACGTCCGGTAAGGATGAGTATACTATGATCTCTTACAAGTAAGAAACTAACTGACTTCATTTTTATTTTTTATCTTCTTTCCGCTTTCATCATCATTATCCTTTTTTTTTTTTTTTTTTAATACATCTTTTTGCCAGTCTTATTACTCGAAAGAATTTTCCTACGGATGATCTTATCTACTAATGAAGGCAACTAGTGAAGGAAGAAAACGACGAAGAAGAAATGAACAAAGACAAGACGTAATATTATCGTTCTTTTCTTTTGTGTTAGATAAAGAGAAAAAAACCGGGGAATGTCAGCAATAGTAGTAAATATAATTCTTTGTTTAAAAATATCGTTTTTAATGTGTTCATTCAAAAAGAAATTGATATTCACTTATGTCATTGTACTCTTTATATCTTTATAATAGTCTCACTGCTATATAAAGCGTCAAATTCTTTCGTTTAATACAATTATTAGAATATTCATGCTTCTCAATAAGTAAGAGTCAAGAAAAAGAAAAAAGAATATTCATTGCTATTACTTATCTATTCTACTTATTAAAACACCGAACTGTCATCGATAAATGAACATACTAATTCTAATACTCATTAATGTCCCTTATGTTCAATTTGCACTTCTCTTCTTTTTTTTTCCTTCTTCTCAAAAGGCATACATCTTCAAATTGAAAACAAAGAGAAGAAAAAAACCTTTCACAACTTTTATATGATTATTTTAAGATATCGTCGAGACCAACTTCATGCACATGGCAAAAGACAATATACAACCAGATCAATCTTCTATTTTTCAACGTTTACAACGGTCACAACAGCAATCAGCATCATCAACATCGATTCCAATAACCGATCAACAATTTAGAGATTGTGATTATTTTATGAATCCAATACCAAACAATGACAAACGAAGTACGTGAATGTTAGAATGATTTATAGCATAGGAAAGAAAAGGCCAATGATGCATTCTTCATATTCTATGTTGTTTTTTTTCTATAAAACTAACCTCTTCTTAGATTATTCATACGAGTATAATATTAAACATATTTATTTTATAATCACACTTATCATTCAAGTACAAAGTGACCTTTTAATCTATTCTATGTCAATGTTTATCAATGTGATGCAATCCAAAAGGACAATTAAATAAGATCAATATATACATATATATATAACTACATATATGCAGTTGTTATTATTATTATATTTTTCTAGACGATATGTAATGAGCTATGTCTCTATAGATATCATATAGTAATTTTCAAGTGTTAAAAACTCTGAGCAAAGAAAATACTTCTAATTTTATTCTGAAGAAATTGTTTTTTGTTATGATGACAAAACGTCAACTATCGTTTATCGATTTACTAAATGAGAAAAATGATATTATGTGTATATATATGATATTCGTATGACCGCCTGTTGTTGAAACAAGATGAATGCTGTATTGCTTAGCGAATCCATCATATACTGTCATCAACTGTCGCCCATCATATTTCTTATAGCAAAGAATACTCAACACTGACATATAGACAGATATACAATTTCAGGATGAATCAGACACCTCAGTGTGTTATATGTCGAATACTGTAAAAACAAAACACATATAATCATAAAACAATCGGTGTCATTAGGGAAACGAGAACGTATAAGAAAGAAAAGAAGCAGATTGTTATGTTCTCAGCACATATGGTCACTGCTTGTGTTATAATCTTGTTCGTCAAAGTACGAGTCATGTTTTCATTTGTATAGGAAAGTCTCTTGTGTATATAAAAATAGCTTAAGAACTTTCTTTGTCTATTATGTTTTTTTATTGTTTTTTAGAATCAATTCATGAATCTGCCATTGATTATACATATGATAATACTAATAATAATCTAGCATCCGCAACTGATTGGCCATCAATGGATATAACTACAGGTATGATATTTTGTAGGCTTTTTGTTTTCTTTGTTGTTCACTTTTTTTTTTTACTTTATTAACATATGATAGTTATGATTATAGTCGTGACAAGTTATTTTTATTTAAATAGCCGTACTAATTCAATTGAATGATTGAATCATTGGAGAAATAAACGGATGTTTTCTTTCTAGCATTTTTTTTTTCATTTGTGCGTTGATGCATCATTCGTATTCTTGTCGTTATCGTTAATCTGTTTCGCGACTAAAATCGACTATCGTCATCTTTTTTGTATAAGCAAGTTGAAGAAGAATACAATTGTATTGTATCATTGCGCTTGTTGATTACTCATTTCACATCACTCGTCACTGCCGTTTAGACATTTCTCTAGGGAATGAAAAAAAAAAAAAAGAAGGAGATAAAAAGAAAGAAGTAATATATTAAGAAAGTCAAACGAATGACATTTTGTTTTTGAAACAAAGACATGTTGTTCAGGTTTGATTAGCATTAGCATTGTAAGCTTCTTTTCTTTTCATGATAGAAAGAGAAATATCGATCATTTCGAGGACATTCTTCGTTGATTATTATTGCTTTCTGTTATATGATAGAGCGAGAAAGGCCCATAAAAATGAATAGTATTTTGTTTAAAAAAAAAAATTATCATTACATTCTATAGTAGATAGTAATAAATAAACGTAGCAGAGATATAGAACTTATTTAATGCATCATATTGATGATAATCCGTATCGAGAAGGTTTTATGGTAACTTGATCGTTTGATGTCGTTATCAATAATAAACAGAGATTCTTGAAAAGAAAAGAAAAGAAAAAAACAGTTGCTTTTATTCGTATTCTGGTACTCTTTTTCTTATGATGATAACATTCTAATGAATGCTTGAGGCCATTTTTAACGTTCATTGTTGTGAAGAATTGGACGTATGTTTTGTGATAGTATAAGTGGTTCATCCACTTCATTCTAACGACAAATCAAGAGTGAGCGAGCAACAAACGGAGATGAGACTCAATCGGCATCGATTAGCTGCGGAAGTGGAAATTCAGATAGCTTGTATATATGTGTTTCTGACGATGACACATACAAACATACATATACAAAACCGAGCGAACAAATAAATAAATCTGATAAAAATTTTTCTTGGTTAAGTCTTTTATATCATACATAGATCTATTGTCTTTTCTTTTATAGTACTCAAAAGACTGTCAGCAAGTGTATATATATATATTCTTAGTTCTTCGACATCGGTAAATGCAAGATTTAGAAAAACAAAACGTTTGTAAGAAATTAAAAAGAAAAAAAACAAAAAATATATTTTACTGTCGATACACGTTTAGTTTTAGAGAATCGAAGGGTATTGATAATTATTAAATAAAAAAAAGAGAAAAAACATCTGTTATATTTTCTCATAAAAATACATATGTTTAAAACACACTATTCTATTTATCAATAGAAAATCTATTATGTCTTTCAATTCTTGTTTTTTTCATTAATTCTACATTTTTCTAAATTGATTATATTTGCTTGAAGAATTTTATAAGTATCAAACGAGATAGACAGTCAAGAGAAAAAAGAAGAAGAAGAAGCAAAAGAAGAAGAAGAAGAAGAAGAAGAAGAAGAAGAAATTTTCTTTTATCCTGATAATTTGTCATTTTACAACAAGAAATGAAAAGGTTATGCGCTTGAATAGATTTTGAATTTCTACTGATAAAAAATTGTCTTTCACATAATAACATATTGTATCTTTTTTAGCCACTATGGATAATAAACATTATTTTAGTCTCTATTTAATTCGTATTAAACATGGTTTAGTTCTTTTTTCTTTATGTCTTATTGCTTTTCAAAGTCTTATTTATTTATTATTAGCTATATTTTCTGAAAAAGTAAATAAAATTATTAATTTTTTTTTTTCTTTATAAATACTTTTTGTTTTTGTTTTTTTCGTAGCCTTATTTATCTCAATTTATTCTTGAAATTCTTGTTTTTATTGGAATATTTTTTCTATCATTAATATTTATATTATTATTTCATCGTGAAAAATTTTTTCATAAATATGTACATATATCATGTTTATTAATATGGTTTTTATTGACATCATTTGCAGTAACACCAATTATTTTACACCAGTATACATCAGTTATACGTTTAATAGGTATTGTAACATTTTCAATAATAACTATACATACAACATTACCTATAACACGATCATGGACAGTTTTAATGGCTGTAACAACATCTTTTATTCATTTAATGCTTGTTATTCGTACACATGATATTCAAGATCCAAATAATCGTTCTCATAGAATGGAATTTAAACTTGAGGTAATATTTACTTTTTTTTTAAATTTTGAAAACTTCGTAGTATAAAAAAAAAAAAAAGTGAAGATAAAAATAATATTTTCATAATTAATAATGATAAATAACAAATATTGAGAAGTGAAAAATGTTCTTGTTGAAGGTGTGAACGATAAAATGAAAATTATTTTGTGGATGGAAAAATTTCAAGTATAATAATGATATATTTTCTTATTATTAGATATTGAAAATTTTTTCATTTCTTCTAAAGGTATAAATGATGTTTTATAAATTTGTTGAACTTTGACAAAAATTAATTTAGAAATAGATAAAGAAATTGTTTAGTATAGAACTTGATCTTCGAAGCATGTTGCATGTTTTTATTGATAAAAATGAAAAGTGCTATTGTCAAGAGTCATAATCAATCTTCAAAGTTCTTCAGAATTTAGAATAGAAGTGTCATCATCATTGTTATCATGAATTTGGAATGTTGCTTGTCTTCTTAAGATTAGACGTCATTTTCAGAAATAAAAATTAGAAATTGACATTCATGTTTTTGAATGGATACAGTTGATTGTCTATTGTTCTTCCGGAAACGTGTATTTATTTCATTATTCTATTAAACATAACATCATTGTTTTCTAACTAAACAAAATATGTTTTTCTATTTTTGTTTTTAGTTTATTTGTCTTTCATTATTTTTTGTTGCATGTAATATATTCGGTCTATGTCATCGTTACTTAACTGATGTGCATCAAAAAAAGACTTATCATAATACAATGCTTTGTATTGAAGCTCGTTTAAGACTTGAACGTGAAAAAGAACAACAAGAAACATTAATTCTTAGTGTTATTCCAGCACATATTGGTATAAAGAATAAATAACTAAATTTAAATTTTCATTTATCTTTTATTTATTTTTTTTATATTAAAGCTTTAAGTATGAAATCAGAAATGTTACGTAAAGTAAAAGAAACAGCTAAATATCATAACCTTCAATCTCGTGATTATGATGATCAATGTTTAAATACAAAAAAAATTAATACACGTAAAGCAGCATTTCATGATTTATATATAAAAAAGCATGAAAATGTCACGTAAGTCTTTTTATATTTTTTTGAAAACTTCTTGACATTTATGTTTTTTTTTTGCTCTTGATTTTATTAGAATACTCTATGCTGATATTGTTAATTTTACACCATTATCAGAAAAATTTACTCCACCAGAACTTGTACAAATACTAAATAAACTTTTTGGAAAGTTTGATCAATTAGCACAAGTAACTATAGTTTTGTGTTTGATACTTACAAAAAAAAAAAAAAAACATTGATTAAAATCTTCTGCTTTGTTATTTCTTTCTTCTAGGAATGTGATTGTATGAGAATTAAAATTTTAGGTGATTGTTATTATTGTGTTAGTGGCTTACCGATAAGTCGACCAAATCATGCATTAAATTGTGTACGAATGGGTTTAAAAATGATTGAAGATATTAAGTATGTTTGCTTTTTGTTTTTGTTTTTATCGATTAAATTTGATTATAATCATTTTATTATTATTTAGATTAGTACGTGAAGCAACCGGTGTTAATGTTGATATGCGTATTGGTATTCATACAGGACGCGTATTATGTGGTGTATTAGGTCTGAAAAAATGGCAATATGATACTTGGTCGGATGATGTTACATTAGCCAATCATATTGAAGCGGGTGGTATACCCGGGTTAGTATTTTATATGTTCTCAATTATATATATGTATAGTTAGTTTAAATATAGATTTACTAATTAGAAAAAAATTTTGCTTTTCTATTTGAGATAATTTGGAAGATTATCAAGATAAGAAAATGATATATGATGTACGATTATGTCTGTCTTACTAGGAAAATGTCATCGAAAGCTAAAGGAAACGTCATGTACCTAAGCGGATACTAATCAATGATAATAAATCAAATTTTTAATTGAAAGTCGATAAATTTTCGATATTTCTTTTTCTAATATTTATTTAAACAATTTTTTGTTTTTGATATGAACTGGTTCGTTTGAATAATTCATACAAACTTTAGTATTGGATTATTGTCAATCAATTATTTATATCATTTATTTTCATTAACTATTATAGATAAAGAAATATTCTGTTCGTTTTTTTTTGTATTATATGACAGTTATTTTCATCATCACAGAAACTGAAGTTTGGTCTTCAAGAAACTAAATTTGTAGTTATTCTAAAGTAATTATCGAATCTATGTCAAGTACATTTCGTGCGTCATCTTGTCACTTATAACATTGATAAACAAGATTGTAACACAAAGAATATTAGTCTTTAATGAAAGTCTTAATCTTTATCACATGGTTATTAATTTTTGTTTGCATAATAATATTGCTTAAACTTTGAAACTGTTTAGACTTGCAGAAAAGTTCCTGCATTTTATTGTGAGTACATCTAGAAGATTAGACGTATTCATTACTTCTCACTTCCATAAAGTAACAAAATCATCCAAGCATTATAATCTTAAACATACTATAATTACACTATGAATAAGCTATTTTAATCTTTAATATAAATTTTCCTTTATTCTAATCTGTCTGAAAAATTAAAAAGTTTTATTTTCTAATCGATGACTGTAATCTGTATGTAACTATAAGTATTTTTCTCGCAGATAAAAAAACTACAATTATCTTTAAATAAAATCTTTTATGTATTTAGTCGTGTTCATATTTCTGAAAGTACGTTACTTCATTTGGGCAATGAGTATGAAGTTGAAATAGCCAATGGACATGAACGTGATGCTTATATTGCAAAAATGGGTATAAAAACATATTTTATCATTCAACCTGATGTACCAAATGTACAACATCAATTAATGATGAAGTAAAATAAAATTATAAATATTTCTTTATTTTTTGTTTTGTAAAATTAATATTTTCTAGCGGTGGTGATACACGTAAATCAAGTAAAAAAATACAAAAATTATTAGATACATGGTCAAATGAAACGCCATTTGCTACGCAACATCTTGGTGATAATGATAAATCAGATGCAGCAAAAAGTTTTGTACTTCTTGAAGATAATTTAAAACCATTAGCAGCTTCATTAGTTTGTTCGTAAGTTTAAACTATTCAACAAAGAAAAATCTGTTAGCATAATCACTACAAGAGTAAAATATCAAATGCGATATAGTTGCTATTGATAATCATCGGAAGATTGTTTCAATTCTATCTATTTTGAGACATATTTTTTCCACTATCCTTTTATTTAATGATATATGGTCTGTGATTGTATATCAAGAAAGTTTGTTATGATCTTTGGCTAGCGTCTGTCAGAGATAAGATTGGTTCGATCCCATATTTGAAGCCTATACTTTTATCTGTATATTTCAACACTCTTTTTTTTCAGATCATGTTTTTACAAAAACAAATGCAACCTATTATTTATTTTGTTTTAGTTGTCCTCAACGTAGTACAAATGACCTTGAACCATTTACACTTGGTTTTAAAAAGCAAGAAAATAAAGCAAATAAAACTTTAGATGATGATGAAGGAAATCGTCGAGCTAACGAAAGTTTATTTCGTTCATTACCTGAATTACGTTATCGTTATTATGTTGCTAATGCAGCTTGTATTTTCTTTGCAATTATAGTTATTCAAGCATTAATATTTGAAAAGTATAAAGAATTAGTTTTGTTTTTTGGCTCTTATTTATATATATATATTCATTATAGAAATGCGCTGTATCTCGTTTTGGTAATATGTGGTTTATGTGCATTTGGTGCAGTAGCTCTATTGTGTGTTGTAGATCTTTCAAAAGTAAATTGTTTTATTTAAAAAAAAAAAAAAAAAAAAAATTTTTTATTTTATAAAATTGGCGTTTTGTTTTAGTTAAAACGTCACAACCATCGTTCTTTACTTGATCAATCAATTTATTTAGTAACACATTATTATTTCATTCGTTTACCGGTTAGTCTTATATTAATAATAATTTGTGTTTTAACACCATTTGCTGTAACATGGTCATCACCGATTGATTTAATTGAACCATTCGACAATACAACAGCAATAAATAGTGATATATTACTTTCAGCATCTAATCTTTCATTTGCACAAAATCGTTTTAATCAAGTAAGATAAATTTATAGATGTACAGCGAATCTACAAGATATTATTATGTTCTAACACTTATTTCTCATTTCATCAGATTATTAGGGTGTGGATGTGAATGTAGGTCTGGATGTGGTTAGATAAGAATGACGAAACACACCCATATCCACACCCTCAGACATTAAAATTATCATAAAAACATATATTTCAGCGTTATTTGATTAAAACCAAGTTGAAAGATATACGTTCTTCAACATTTCATAAAAGGTGTTTCAATCTTCTTCAATAGAAAGTCTTTCCTAACTGATGAAATTAATTAATGATATCTATTTTGAAAAATAAAGAAAAACGTTTAGTTTTGCTCATGAGTTGTAAGTCGATGCATTAATTGATCGTGACGGTTGAACTTTTTTTCATATTTTCTTTTAATTTTTGTCATTTCTGTGAAGTTTTACAATGAAAAAAAGGAGAAAATAATGGTATAACACTAATCTCTGGATGCCGAAGAATTTCCAAAATCAAGTCCGTATTTTTATATCGCTGCTATTGTTTACAAGAACGGAGATGGCAACGACTGAGTCGATCAGCTTACATATCTAATAATACGAGACATGTCTATCTGTTATAATCTGTAATTCGAGAATATCTCCAGATGTTTGCCACTTATTCCTATGTAAAGATAATTAAAATCTTTTAGCTTGTGATCAGGAATTAATCAGTTCGCAGTTTCAAGTCTCGATCAATGAGCGAAAGAATTGAGCTGTTAGAGAAATTTTATTCTATTTTGGGGAATAACATTTCAATAGTAGAACAAAGGTTATTGTACGCAGAAAACTCATTTCTAAAATAGAATAAACGTTTGTTTATACCCGGAAGTACTTTTAAAAATTAAAAAAAAAACAATTTTGACGCATTAGATTTGAACTTGTCGATTTCGATTTCCAATTTTTTAAATTTATGAAAAATTTTAATTTTTCTTAATCGTTTTGTTTTCTTAGACAATTGTTTTACCAATTCATACGATTAGTATGGTATCATCTTTAACAAATTCTTTGCTATTTGAATTGTGTCCTCACTTTGAATTTCATATATTACTTATTCAACTTGCTTTATTATCTGTTTCTTCATTTATGCATCTTTATTTTCTACTCAAAGCATTAATTATGATTATAATTGTAACTATTTTTGTATTTTATTCATATTATTCAAATATTTATAATATTATTGCTAACAATTATGGCATAGCAAGTAGTACAATACTTATAGAAACAACATTTGAAGTTATTTTTTTTATTCTTTTATTAATTGGTCTTGATCGACGAGTAAATTTAATAGTTTTTAATATAAATGAAAAAAAAACAGAAATAACTTTAAGAAGATTTTTTTTTTCAGTTTGAATATATGAGTCGACTTGATTTATTATGGACAATTAAATTTCAAAATGAAAAACATGAAGTTGAAACAGTAAGCACGATTAGTCGATTATTATTAGAAAATATTTTACCAAAGCATGTGGCAGAAATTATTATTAAAGAAAATATGAGTCAGGTAAAAAAATCATTTATTTTTATACACTATAATATTATTATGAAATAATCATTTTCTAATATTTAATTCATATATCTATTCCATAGTAAAGCTTGTATAGTAGAATTTCAAGTTTATTCTATTAATTGATTTATACAAAAGCGCCAATAAAGACTCTAATTTTGAGTAGGATTCATTTTTAGGTTGTTGCCTCTATTCTTATTTGTTCGCCGGACAACCGCTCCTTAATCATGCCAATTGTTGAAGTCTATTGCTAGGAATTTTAAAACAAGAATGTATATAAAATACTGTTGACAAACGTTTATTTTATCACTCCGTTTGATATTCATTTGTTACACTTATAAATAAAATCATAATCAATGTTGATTAAAAAATTATCCTGATAATAAATTGACCTAACTTAAAACTTAGTGAATTTCATTGTCTGACGAGCATAATATTTAAGTTCTTCTTACACTTAAATCTACGCAAATTTAGCTAGAAAATAAGTTAAGACAAAAACGAACATTCAATTGATATAAATATATATGTCCGGTTACATCTTGTTTAATTAAGTGTTCTTTAGTGCAACAAATATGAGGAAAAAATTATCTTGGGGATGTGAGGTGCGGTGTAATTGCTGATAGTAGAGGTCTGTCTCTGAAAGCTTGAAGTTGCCGTAACTAAGTGACCATCAAGTTCAACACGTATCCACAAGGTACTGTGTTCACATCTCGTTACCATCAGCCATAAAATGACCTTGGACAAGTCCCTAACGCCTGTTTGTCTCAGATGACCTGCTCGATAGCTTGTTACCTATGTTGTGACATACACTTACTTTTGTAATCGAAAAGTAGAGATATTTTTTCTTCCTCTATAAGTCGGCATATATTCCGTTCTGTAGGCAAAATATTATTGCTGTCTTTTTTTTGTTTTTTCTTATTGTTATAAAAATAATGAAACAATGAAAATTTCTAATATCGAAATAAAATTTTGCTTTTTAGGGTCTTTATCACGAAAGTTACGATAATGTTGTTGTTATGTTTGCATCAATACCTAATTTTAAAGAATTTTATGTTCAATCAGATGTCAATAATGATGGATTAGAATGTTTAAGATTACTCAATGAAATCATTGCTGAATTTGATAAAGTTCGTAGTAATAAAAGAAAAAATTTAATTTCAGAATTTTTTTTTTTCTTTATCTTGTTTCATTTAGTTATTAGATAAGAATAAATTTAGTTGCGTAGAAAAAATTAAAACTATTGGTCATACTTATATGGCAGCAGCTGGTCTTAATCCAGGTGTTGAACATCGTATGGTATTGAGAAAAAAAAATTCATCTTTTTTCTTTTTTTTTTCTATATTTTGCTTTTTTTTTTTTATTCTAATTTTTATCTAGACAAGAGAACGATACAATCAAAATATTGTTGCGCTTGCAGAATTTGCTTTTGCGATGATTGCAGTACTTGAAGGGATTAATCGAGATTGTTTCAACGATTTTAAATTACGTGTTGGCATGTGTAATGGTCCTCTGGTTGCTGGTAAATGATATTTTTATGATATAATATTTAATTGTAGCAATTATTAGGAAGTGTTTGTTAAGAAAAGAATTATTCAAATTTTAAACTATTGAGATATTTCATTGTTAATGAGAAGATTAAAGATCAGAGCAATGATATCGTGATCTTTGGCTACTCTTGCTGATGTCGCATGTTACTAAGGTAGTTTTAATGAGCTTCGATATTTTTCCTACAATTGACAAGATTCAGAAATGTTTATACATTTTCTTAATAGTCACTGAATTATAGATATGAACAGAATTAAGGCCGGTTTGATGAAAGGTTCTTCTCGTTTGTATAGTTCTCCATATATACTTACTATCAATATACTAATCTTATTTAGAAAATATATTATGAAGATCATTTAGAGAAGCAAATGCTTGTCAAAATCTAGTAACTATGTTAACAGACGAGTGAGCTAAAGCAATAGTCGTGAATAATGTATCCAAAGTTAGTTCATAGTTAGATGGCGACGATGTTCGAGCTGAACACCTTTGGCATAAATATCAAACATAATCTTCATTCAGCCAATGATTACTCACTGATATTTATATCTAATTGAAAACGAAACGGTCTATTCATCTAATCGACTTTTTGGTGTATTTACGGTTGTATTGTGATCACTCAGTGCCCCATAATTACAAAAAATTATAGTGCAGATACTTGTAAATGGGATGCTTTTATCTTAACTACGTATAATTACGATGGATGAATAACAATTATGCATAGTTAAGATAAAAGCACCGCATTTATGCGTATCTACACTAGAATTTTCCGAAATTATGGCTCACCATGTGATCATAACTGCGTCATAAATCGATCATAATGAAACTTATGCATCGTGACTGAAATGTCTGATTTTATAAATATAAGATAGTAATGAAGATTTCAAACGCATATCTATCGTTAATAAAAAAAATAATAAAGATAATCAATTCAGAGAACATAAAATTCTTAATAAGAAATAAAATATCGAATTTCCTATTAATGATACACATTCATGAAGATAAATTCGATCATTATATAGTGTTCTACGATAACACCGAAAATAGTAACGGAATCCGAAATAAAATGTGGGAGGACAACTTAATCCTCATTTGAAGTTGAAATGCAGATATTTCTTTCGTCAATAATATAAGATCGTCTCACTTATAGACAAAGCTCAAAAGTTTCTGAAGGAGACTGAGTCACTTCTAACTCCGCCACTCATAGAAACTATATTTTTTTTTTAATAAAAACTTTTATATCGTTTTCATTTATTATATTTTCAGGTATTGTTGGTGCGAAAAAGCCTCAATATGATATTTGGGGTAATACAGTAAATGTCGCCTCACGTATGGATAGTACCGGTGTCGTCTGTTGTATACATGTGAGTTAATAAATCTATATTTTTGTTTTTGCTATTAAACAAAACGAATATAATTATTTTGAGGTTCCTGAAGAAACACAACGAGTCTTATTTGAACATGGTTATCCATGTGAATGTCGTGGACCGATTTATGTTAAAGGTAAAGGTAATATGACAACATATTTAGTTCGACCACGTGGTTATATGATGCCAACATCAACGTCAAATCTTTCATCTATAGGCAATACATCGAATAAATGAAATATTTTATTTTTTGTTTCATCAAAAAATTCTTCGAGTCAGATTTTGTCCCAGTGAAATTATATTCGTGTACAATTTTGTTTTCTTGTTATATGTATGTATTCCTAATAATGAGAACAGTATCTAGATCTTTTTTTTTTTTGATGTTTTATTTTTCTTTTTTCAAAAAAAAAAGCAAATTATGAAGGAATGAATAATAGATAAACAAATATAATAATCTGACGGACGACACGAAATATATATGTTTTGTAATTTAGCGTCGTTTATTATTACGTGGAACGGATGTTGTCGGCCGTTTGGCTAAAAGAAAAAAAAGTTTCATATGGAATTTTTAATATGAGCATATCATTAAATATGTTATTATATTCAGCATTAAAAACTCTGCACCTTAATTTGATTATTACGCTTTTAAAATAGTTCAAGTCTGTACATTTATAGTATTAATAATATTGAAATATTCAAAATTTAGACATCTGTTTATGTTGATTGTATACAGCTAATTAAAGCGCATCAGTGACGTATTCAGGATTTTTCAGTATGCTGAATCTCGACTTCCGAGTGTGGGACCCAGATGAAACTCATGGAGGATGATGCTGGGTCCAAATGATGAAATTTTATCAAAAAAAATTTGCACTCGGAGTTTGCGAAAAAAATTTGCATTTTCCTGANATTTATCATTAATTGATCATGTGTTAAAATTAGTCAATGAACCAATATTTTATAATAATCTAGAAGAAACATTATCGAATTCAGAAACAAATTTTATGAATACAGCTATTAGTTTTCTTGTCAATATGATTAGTGAACCAGCCATACTAGCTCAAGTAAAAGAATCACAAGTAACACCTGTATTTCTTCGTTTAACATCATGTCAATATAAACCATTAGTAATAAATGCTTATAATCTTATTGCTGATACGACACGTGAAGAAGATATCAAAGAAATGGATAAACCTGGTCAACTACTTGAAAACATTATTGATTCACTTAAAACTACATTACAGCAACCGTCTAAGGATACAAGTCACCACGAGCAATTACTCGAAACTTTAAAAGGTAATCAGTTTTGTGCATATATTTTTCATACGAACTTTCATTTGGAATATGATTACATACAATGTTGTTAGACGTAATCATGAACTTTTTGTTTATTAACTTGGATTCTACGCATAAAATCACTGAGTAAAGATTATCTTTCTTTTCTTACCCCTGATTTTGAACTATTATCGACGCCAAAATATAATGCATCTCGATATTTTTCGAATATCTTGAGGATGAATGTAGCTAGAAACCTACAGTTTTCATCATTCAAAAGAGAAATACAGGAGAATTGAAACTTTGCTGCATTATTTGAACTCTGTATTGGTCAATTAGATGAGATTTTACTACAGACTTTGACAAGAAGTTATCGAAAAACCTTTCTCATCTAATAATAAATTACAATTTAGAGAATCAATAACACAGACATTTCTCTGTCAATCGATGCAAATCCTACCTTTCCTGTTTATTCTATTCTGGAGTTATAAGCGTTTTATTGGAAACCTTGAAATCGACCAACTGATCGCTGATAATTCTAAACTATATTGAACTTGGTGTATTCTTCTGCGCTGAATCCAATAGCGAGGTTTTTTTTAGTTTCAATAGGATCCTAAAATGCTAGATTATAATTTTTGTAATTCGTTCTATAGAAAACTTATAATGTTAGAGAAAATATTTTCAAGATCCAACCAATGACTAGCTAGCCGATTTCAAGCTCCCAATGAAATGCTTAGATCTCCAGAATGGAATAAGCTAGAAGAATCAGTCTTGCGTAGATCGACAGAAAAATGTCTTCGCTATCAATTCTTTAAATTGGAACTCATCGTTAGTTAAGAATGGTTTTTCGACAACTACTTGTCAAAGTCTACAGCAAAAACTTACCAGTTTGACCAACACATAGTTCAAATAATTCAGCAACGTTTAAATTCTTTCATATTTGCCTTTTGAATGGTAAAACTGCAACTTTCTAGCCAATGTTTTATCTAGGTTTTTCACTCCGAGGCGGCAAATTCAGCTGTCGGGAGGGCAGACAAAAATTTCTTAAGGAATGAACTATCAAGAGTGTTTTCGAGTCTATTATACTGACGCTTGCAAAAGACAACGATACGCAAAATATTAGTTCGAATTTGATTGAAATTAAGGACGAAGGATAGTCATATTATATTGTGGAGAATGAGTTTGTTCTGTCTTGGTACTGTTAGGTGACCTGATTCTACTACGAGAAGTGTCGCCTCGCAGTAATAGATCCATAATTCGACTAATGATCATTGTACAGAACTGATTTTTAGTTTTTATTTAATTGAATGAACACTTCTGCGTCGATCTGTATGTGTTCGATTACAAAATAATCAATCTTTGGTCATAAGAGGTGCGAGAATACGAGCAGGGTTGATTTTTTTTTCAATTTTCCTGGTGTTTTCAATTATGCCACTGAGGCTATTTTCAGTTCCTAATCCTTCCATTACTACGTCAAACAGAATGACGTCTGAAGTAGAACAAGATTGCGAAAAATATAAAAGTGAACTATGTCGAGAGGAGCACAAATAGACCTACCACGACGAGACGGCGTCTATGGTTTATTCTTTAGCCACAACTAAGGAAATTTTTGTGCATAAAGTCTTGTTCTACTTCGAAAGATATTCCGTTTGAAGTAGAAATAGAAAGACTATGAGCTAAGAATACCCCCAGTGGCATAATTAGGAACATCAGGAAAATTGGAAAAGAACTCGACTCCGCTCGTATTTTCCCTTCTCTTATGAAACAAAGATTGATTACTTTATGATCAAATACATACAGATCGACACAAATGTTCACTCCATTCAAAAAAAAACTAAGAATCAGCTTTGAAAGATGATCAATAACTGAGTTACAGATTGATTACTGCGAGGTAAAATTGTTCGCGTCAGAATTAGGTCATCCGACTCTAACACTATATTTATTGAAATTATTCCAAAAATGTCGCATCAAAAATATTTTTAGGAAAATTTTATTGATATTATTTTTTTTTAAGTTTCATTTTTCTCGGGGGGCCAAACTCGGTTTCCGGGAGGGGGGGGGGCAAAATGTCCCATGCCCCCACTGGATAAAACACTGAGTCCACCATACGATAGAACATTGAAAACTACCCATTCACTACGAAGTTCACATTGCTTCACAGTTTCTTGTCGCTAGCAAAGAGTAACAGATTCTAGACTCATAGTCTTAACTTTTATAGCCGATCAATCTGCCAACAAGCTCTTATAGTTTATATTTGAGTAACCATCGATGATGATGAATCTTTTTTTTCATGATATTAGAATAATCAATGGAAAAAATACATGAGCAAAAGACTCGATATAAAACCAAAGGAACACGTGAAACAGGTTTGTTTTTCTTGATTATTCGAATGTTTTCAGTACGTTATCTACTGATATTCGTAAATCAGCGTACTTAACTTTATCAATGAATATATGATTCAACGAAAGGAAAAATAGAAAAAATTTCAACGATGTTCGTGAATGACATGAGCTGTACAAAAACTAATTTGTGTAATATGATGAGACATCATGCCTTACCACAAATCGACAAGAAAACAAAAGTCAATTTTGTAGGAGGCAAAAAAATGGTCTTGACTGTCCTAGTCTTTTATTTAAAAAAATTTTACCTTGAACTTCATCTTCATTTGAGTTTGTATTAGAAAACCAATTTGGCATCCAACTTTGATCAATATTATCTGGTTTCATTTTACAAAATGATAGTTGATCATTCAACCCATTAGATTTTATTTGGCTAGCATTTAATTCAATAACATGATCACCCCATGCCGATTTTGGCAATGCTTGATTAGGTGTTCCAGCTGATTGTACTGCACGTTTAGATGTTACTTGTTCAGATTGTTTATTATTAAATAAAGATTTCGAATGTGGCATTTGAGGATTATTATTAAGAATAGGATTATGATTTGGAATAGGATTTTGATCAATATCAGCAATAATAGAACCGTCAGCAGTTTTTATTTTTGTTTTTGTCGATGGTGTCCATTGACGACGACCATTTGTTGGTAGTGAATTATTTTGTTGTGTTGTATTTGATGGAGTTGGAAATGAAAAATCAGAAAAATACGGTGACGGAGTTATAGTTCGATTCGTTGGTGCATCTAAGAAATGAGATATAAAAATCCTAATTAATTATTATTTATTATTATACTCATAATTGATGATGGTCGTCGTTGTGGCGCACTATGTGCTCCATTTAAATATAATTGAAAACCGGTTTCACGTTTTTTTAAATTACTATCTTTTGGTTTACGTTGATTATGATATGTTTTAAGTAAACGATTTCGTTCTTGTAATTGAATTAAATATTCATCATGTTTACTTGGTACGTCGCCACGATGAGCTTGAATCTATGAATAAAACAACAACAAAAAAATAAAAACATTACAAAAAATTAAGCTTTTATATCTTACTGCACTTTGACCTCGATTAGTTCGTCGCGAAGAATTAAGAGGTTCAATAGAGTTATCATAAGTACTATTCGTCATGATTTAAATATCTAGAATAATATTAATCATTATTTTTAGCAATACAATAGAATTTTAACAATGTCCAAGTAAACTTTATACTATCATGTATATTATACAAGGATTTGAATTGTAATAAAAATCAACTAGTTTTTAAGTAATCAACAAGTTAAATATTCTATATTTGCTTCAGTATTGATACAGAATTGTACTTAATTTGGTGTGATACGTCAAATCATGATTACTTACCGTATGACTATTTTGAAACACTATCCATTTCAATTGTCGTTTTCCTAGAGGTATCTTGAATACTGTTCACCCTGATATAAAATATTAAATTTATTTATCAATAAAAAATAAATATTTATTTTAAATTATCAACTTTTAATATAACATGAAAATGTTTTCGTTCTCAATAAAAGATGTCGCTCATATATGATCTATATGAACAATAGATTTTAGCCAATAGGAAGTTTATTCATGAAATAAAATTTTTGCGGCAACAAATCAAATTCATATTTTAGACTTCATTCATTCAAAAAAAGGCCATTGTTATGATGTTCTATAAATATGAACACATACATAAATTGTATGAAGTATAAAACCAAGTTTGTTGTAGTTTTCGCACATTTATTTTTGTTGTTGACTAGTATCCTATGCAAAGAATTTATTAGATTATTGTACTGTAAATTCTTTATTTAATTCTATAGATTGATTCAATGACATCCAGTAATAATAGTACTAAACTTTCTAATTTATCTGTTCAATGGGAATGGGAAGGTGATAAAGGTATTTGGCAACAACATCCAATAGATATTCAACAAAAAATTTCTCAAGCATTTGATAATGGAAATAGTGAAGTATATAATAATTTCGATTTTTATTTGATAAAATTGTTTATTTTTGTAAGGTTACTGTTAATCAAACAGAAGAGATAATTATGATAATTAAATTTCATGATATGGTACAAATAAATCAGAAAACAAAATTTATGCGTCGTATACGTTTTTGTATGGAATTAAAAGATAAAAATGGTTTTTTTACATACGAATATGAAAATGAAAATAAAAAATGGTTTTCTTATAATGCTGAAATAATGATTAAAATAGCAAATGCTATTGAAAATGATCAAACAATATTATCAATTAATTATCAAAATCAATCATATGATATTGATCTTGATAAATTAATCGAAACAAATTTAAATACAAAAGCTATTCGAAAAATACATTGTGTTAAATCAAGTTTGTTTATTTGTTTTTTTTTTTTTTGTGAATTCAAATTTTTTTTTCTTTATCTAGTGGCAAAATTACCATTGAATGTTTCAACAATATCAAATAAACGATCATTAGATAATAATGAAAGTGTAGAAAATAATAAGAAAAAACGTAGCATATCAAAATCAACTCCAATAGAGAAAAGTGCAAGTAGGTTGGATTATTAACAAGAGAACTTTTTTTTAGCTGCTTTCTTTTGATGAATATCTCACGAAAACTTCATGTGATTTAAATATTTCTGACCGAAAGTCAACTGTGTTTTTTTTTCGTTCTAGTGCGTACTGTGACAACAGTTGTTGGAAAAGTACCTGTTGATTCTGAATGTGTATCAATGTTAGGAAAAGTTCATGTTTATTGTGATAATAATGATGTATTTGATTGTATGCTTAATCAAGTAAGAAACTTTAGTATTAGTTTCATATCAAAATATTTGGTTTTGTTTTTAGACAAATGTTGGAAATAATAATAATAAATTTTATTTAATTCAATTACTTGAAGAAAATAATAGTAAAAAATATTATGTGTGGTTACGTTGGTAAAAATTTTCATTTTAAATTATTTTTTTTTATTTTGTGCTTTTTGTTTTTAAAAGGGGACGAGTTGGATATAATGGACAAAATAATTTAGAACATTTTGGTTGTGATTTAGATGAAGCAAAAAGATTTTTTTGTCAAAAGTATGCAATTTCAAATTTTAATTCGTTATAATATCAAACAGAGGTCTCATGATTGATTATCAAATGTACAAATATAATATGTTGAATAATATTTAAAACGGATAGAGCATAAATGATTCCGACTAATTGTAAATGCAATTTTAAAATTACTTACTATTCATGTGTATTTTGTGAAACATATTCCATTGCGGTTCAACAGTTATGTAGTCTTGTAGAAAACGAAATTCTGTTGGTGTCTAAATAAGGATTTTGCAAATGAACTTTAACTGAAAACAAAAGATTTCATTGTGCAGAAAAAAAAAGCGTCACAGAGAATATTTTCAACACTTTAGCAAAGCTCGGGGTATCCAAAAGTGTATAAGAGAAAATCCTATATGTTTTGATATAAAAATCTTTACTTTTGAGGTTGTTGCTTAATCATGAGGCATCGCAGTAAAATTCTCCAGCTTTTGG